TTAGATTGATACCTTGTGTGGATGGTGTTTCTGGTAGTACGAGTATTGCCAACATACTTGCCTCGAAATTTAAAGGAGTTCTTAACAGAAATTCCAATGCTCTTCAAATCTCTTTCTATTCAACGCTCCAGTCGTCTGTCACTGACACAAGTGAGGTGTATTTTTCAGAAGATGTTGTAGAAGCCATTCATGAACTTAATCCACGCAAGTATGATGCCGGTGGGGTATGCACAGAGCACCTCAAGTTTGCTTCTTCTGTCATCTCGGAGTCTCATGCTACGTTTTTCACTTCTGTTGTCAGACACAGGTATATGCCAGTTTGCATTCATGACTGTGTCACCACGCCCATATTGAAGGGAAAAAAGACCCATCATGCAGTCAAAACTACCGCCCAATTGCTCTGGCTTCAAGTAAGATCCTTGAACGCCTCATTCTACATAAGTATTCCACCTACTTCTTTAGTAGTCCACTGCAATTTGGTTTCAAATCTGGCTAATCAACAACGTTATGCACTGGTGTCGTGAAGAATATAGTTTCTCGTTACATTAACAGAGGATCTTCAGTTCTAGGGTGCTTCTTGTATGCTAATAAGGCCTTTGACTTGGTTAATCATGGCATGTTGTTTCAAAAACTGCTTAAACGAGGTTTGCCCTTGCCAGATGTTAGGTTTCTGTCTTCTTGGTATCATGATCAGCAAATGCGTGTTCGTTGGGAACAATGTTTGTCTAGCTCGTTTTGTGTGTCTAATGGCGTTAGGCAAGACAGTGTAGTTTCTCCTGTTTTGTTTTCTATATACTTGGATGAGTTGGTAGATATGTTCATTTGCAACTTCTCATGGGCTACTTTTCAATGCCGACAAATCTCAATTAATCTGTTTTCGTGCACGGAAGTCAAATACGCTACTTCCTTGTATCATGTTCAACAACACTATATTATATCTTGATAGAGTTTTGCACTTGGGACACATACTCACGTACAACCTGGACGACAGAGAAGACATCGTCAGAGTCATAAAAGATATCAACAGCAAAGCTAACTTCGTTTTATGTAAAGTTTCTTCTGCCGACCCCTTTGTCAAGTGTTTTCTTATTAAGTCTTACTGTTTATCATTGTATGGTATCACCCTCTGGTAACTCTCTTCACCTTCCATTAGACTCATTGAGGTTGCTCTGAATAAAGTACAGTGGGTCCTGGTTAATATCATACCAGCGGTGCATCCAAAAATATGATAATATGCGGGATATTCTATAATTCAGGCGCGTATACTGTGTATACTTCGGGTGTGTATACAGTGTATACCAATGTCTATTGTGAACTAGATAGCGCACAATGCAGTTGTTTAGCTAAGCTAATGAAGCTAGGCTAGCCTAGCTGCTTACATAAGCTAATGAAGCCATGTGGAGAATGGAGAGTTGCAAAACTCCAGCCCAAGGTTGTAGAATGCTTAATTATGCATGCGCAATAATGACAATATGCGGGCAAAAAACAAAATTGCTCAATTTTTCTATGGTAATAGGCGGGATATAACATTATCCGTATTCTATAAAACGGAGTAAAATGTATGGGAAAGCATAGGAAATGGTTTTGGATTTCAGGTTTGTATGATTATAAACGGGATATTCCATTCAACGGTATGATATTAAGTGGGACCCACTGTATTGCGTAAAGTATGGAACCTCAGCAACATGTCACACACTGGGATTGTCCATAGCATTGCACAAATACCTACAATCAGTAACATTCTGTATATATGATCGTTTCTGTTCTCGTGCTACCTCTTCTTCCTCCATCCTTGTGAGATCTGTTTTTTTTATTCTTCCAATTATATGTTTACACTTTTACGGTTTACAATTTTGTTCATGGATATGATCATTATCATGGATTCAGACCTTTTTGCTGCCCACATCATTAGACAATTGAGGTCAATCTATGGATTACACTCACCGGATACTTTTCTATCATGTTCCTAAGTTGATCTGTTATTTTTTGTTTAGTCATTCTTATCCTTTACTGTGAGCAGACCAGTGGTCGGTCCAGGAGCCCGTAAGCCCTCGGCTGGCGAAGGGAAATAGTCCAGTCGGCCACAGGTCTGCTTTGGTGCTGAGCTTCTCTTATTCTCTTTCAATATATTTTTATTTGCCTATGCTATCTTGGTGTGTTGAATAATTGGCGAGCGGAAGCGAGCAAACCTAGTGGTACGAACGGCGCGGATTTTCTCTATTATTGCCGAGCGCGTTAGCGCGAGGCAACTATATACTCCGCGATAAGTGTACGTACATACATGTCGGTCACGATTTTAAGAATGTCAATTAGTCACGCTTAGGGAATGTCAATTAGTCACGCTTAGGAATGTCAACTTCCGTCATCCGTAAGAAGTCTAGCTACCGCCGTGCGCGCAGATTCGTAGGAAATCTGGCTTCGCGCGCAGTCAGTAGAGCGCGAGCACGAGCGGCCTCAGTCGGACTGTTTACGCATTGGCTGGGAGGCGCGAGGCAAAATATGCGCGTGCGCATTCCTAGTACGACCGTACGTCGTCCAACTGCGCATGCTCCAGGATTATGCGCTTCTTTTTACCCTCGGCGCGCATGCGCAGAGCGAGGGGCGCGTGCGCATGCTCAGAGGACGCTCTTCAGAGGAGCAGTTCGGAATAGACACGGAGGGTACAGTCCTCTCGGCCGCTCCTAAGGCACGGCCGAAATATGGACTGCTCCACTCCGTCGGCGTGAGGGATTTCTTTGCGTGAACGAACGTTTCTGTGGGTCTGTACAAACGACATTGACTGAGGCTCAACCTCATCTCCTCCCCTGCCCTCGTGCCCGGTGGTGTGCTCCCGTTTTTTCAGCTGCTAGATCTGTCCACGTGGGAGGCAAGTCAAATATCCAGCGGTCGCAATATCCATGGGTCGTACTTGTTCTACTCCCATGGTGAGAAGGGTAGCCTCTTTGGGGCTGATTGCCGACAGCTGCCATTCTGTGGCTCATGATCTGCCGTGGTGTTGGTGGTGGGAGTGGGTGTGGTCACTCGTGCCTCTAATAAAGTGTCCGTCCACATTCTGTCTTATGCGACTTCAACTACCACCAATGATGGTGCACATTAAAAAGAACATATCGACCGGGGACAGTGCTAGTTCTGCTAGACTTCGCTCTCTACACGTTTTGTCTGACTTGTGTATGTATGTATATACCTGCCATGCCCTATTGGGTCCGTGCAATGATTGATTGATTGATTGGTTACGGTAGTTGTCCCGTAAGTGTGTCTGTCAGTCAGTCTGTCTGTTACCACGTTTTCTGCCACCGCGCGCGTAAATAGCGATATGATCGGGTTCAGTGCTACACTGGGTTGATGAAAAAAAGGCGATTTTCGTACAACTACTGTTATGGCGTGAAAACCAAGTGAACAAGCCAATATGTAAATTAGCACAGGCTTACCTCGACCGCGTCCGTTCGCTCTGTGTGTCTTGAAGGCAAACAAGTCACAACGAAGGGTATGTATCGACTCCCGCATGCTATTTACTACTGTAGCTAGCCCGTGCCAGACTCTCCGCCAGCTACTAGCGGGATACCACGAGTAAAGGCATAAAAAGGCCAGCCCGTCAATTAGTGGTACCGCACATGTGCAGTTCGCCGAGGGTTTGCACTTTAGTTAATTTTTACATGCTGCCTGCCTGTCATAAAGTCGTGCGTATAATACACATTTGCGTATACGTGGGTGTGTAGCTCGTCGTAGAGAGAGGGAAAGAGAACGTCGTGCCCGTGAGACTCCTGAGCAGAGAGGGGCTCGTCTGTATCAGCGTCGCTTGCGTGATAGGAAAAGGGCAAGAGAACGCCTCGCCACAGAAAGAGCGGAGGAAAGGGAAGCGCGACTATTATAGCAAGACGTCGTGTACATGCTAGATCGAGACTTGCTGCGGAATCAGAGGAAACGCTACACGCCAGGCTCGAACACATCCGAAACTATCGAGAAAGGCCAATTGCTGCACAGTCTAGCGACGAGAGAGCGGCCCGCCTGCGGCAGGTACGAAGGAACCAGGAGCAGAGAATTGCTGCAGAGTCCAGCGATGAGAGAGCGGCCCGCCTGCAGCAGGTACGAAGGAACCAAGAGCAGAGAATTGCTGTGAGTCCAGCGATGAGAGAGCGGCCCGCCTGCAGCAGGTACGAAGGAACCAAGAGCAGAGAATTGCTGTGAGTCCAGCGATGTACAGCGGCCCGCCTGCAGCTGCTATAAGGACGTAATCACCAAAGAATTGCCTTGGAAACTCACAGAGAGTGAAGCAGACATCAGCGTGACTAACAAGCATATGCACAGCACTTCAACACCAGCGAGTGGTCCAATCGAAGATGAGCAAGTTCCACTCTGAAATGCAGATGTCGCTATGCATCACTTGCCATGAGAGGTTCTCTGGCTAGACTGTCAGGTTGACTCCATCTGGTACAGAGTGTTTGCGTTGTGTTCGGGACAACCACAGTCCTAAAGCGTACTCATCACTTAACAACATGGACCCTGGTCCTCTGCCACATGAATTATGATCGATGATGGATGGCTCTACCCACATAGCCATGAAGTGCAAACCCTCGGCGCATTGTAACGCGCATACGTAAGACCAGGCATCTGCTGCAATGCAGTTAGCATGTGGCTGGGTTTCATGGTTTTGGGGCTAACCTTAGGAAACAAGTTTGTAAACAACAACAAACAGCCTCAGGCAATAAAAACTTGTAAATGGTGTTTGTGCCTATAAATTACTTGTGGTTGGTCCTCTAATAAAAATCCGCTAGAACGAACGACTAGGTTGGCTCGCTCCCGCTCACCAATTAAGTGGTTAAAAGTATGGCATTACCAGCAATCACATTACATTCATCTTTAACATGCATGCACAATTAATACTATCTTAGTTTAGTCACCATCAGTACGTCCTTCTTCATGATATAGGACCCTTAGTTTCGAGAGCAATTATTATTATTAGTGGGTCTGTATGCAACATTTATGCTTGTCTTCAGTTCATCTTTGGGTGAATTGTAAGCAACATTACTGGTCATTTTTGTTTCAGTCACAAATCCAGAGGCATCATTAGCAAATGTGGTGGTCAGCATAGGGTATGAGTATGATACACTACTCGGTAGAATATAATCCTGCAACACTTCGTCCGTGTTATTACTGCTGACACTCACACCGGCATTAGTAGTGTGAAAGGTAGCCGTTTCAGTGTTTCCTACTAGAGTCTTCTTTTTCTTATGCCTGAGATACACAGTCAAGAAGACAAGTGCAAGAGCCACTGCTATGGTTCCTGTCAAAGCCACAGTCACACCAACGCCAAGGCCATATCCTGGAGGACTGAATTGTGTAGGTACAGGAGGTGGAATCTTGACCGATGAGGTTGAGGATAAATGCATTGTTTCAGGAGAGTTATTGAGTGGTGACAGTGCTGGAGTAGATCGTTGGAGCTGTACTGGGGTGTCGATTTTTTTTTTCGGTAAGACCTAGTTTCCTGCAAGGTGATATATAACATTTTCACAAGGAAACATACATACCCACTGTATATACACCCTCAAGATCGCTCATAACTACACATTGCCCCCAGCACTGTAAAGTGATGAAACTACAGTAATTTCAAGTAATCTGTAGTTTGTTGTCGTTTTAAAAACTGATTTTGATGTGGAGATAATTGTATACAAAGTTTCATTTACATAACTCAACATTTTGTGAGTTACTGACAATCTACTGGTATTGCCGGGCCAACCTTTTTGTGTTTACAATAACAACATTGTTTTACCAAACAATAATTATTCTACATTACTTTACTCAAGCTGGGATGCAGATATAAAATTCCAATGTACCTTTATATGTGATTGTCTCCCAATTTAGGATGGCGATTTTTTCTATAGTGAGACTTAGTACAATTGTATCCACTGAAAATTGTTCAAGATCTTTATGTACCTATCTCACCTACACCAATGTCTGTAATGTTGAAGTAGAGGTGGAGCCAGACTGCTCCCCCTCTGAATGTTTAAGGAATCATAAGGTGAGTTCCTGGAGTTTTCAGTAGACAGAAAGTAGTATAGTTGGACTGTCGTTTCCTCTGACAATACAACAAATCTTTGAGTCATGTGACTGAGGTCCTCAAAGACTGCCCAGAATATCTTCCTGACTTTATGGGAATCGATGTGTCATACACAAAATCTACGCCTATTACTTTGACGTCTCATAAGAATATTTATGCCGTATCCACACTCATTAATTCTGTGATAGGTGGTAATTGGTTAGAGCTTTCTCCAAACTTGACATTTCAGGAAAATTTTACTTTCATCATCCTTTTACTTCACCACCTAGTTCAACTTTGTTATATCCCATCCAGGTGAACCTCATTTTCTGGTGTGAAAATCTGCTGCTGTCCCTCTATTTCCATTAAGCTCCGACATACGATCACTTCTAGTATCAGGTCTCATTCCTCCCGACTCATAACCCCTAAACCCACAGCTACAAACCTGGAGGGTCTTGGAAGATTTAACATCGGATTACTTATGTCAAAAATTCGTCGTCTGGATAGAGCCATGAATAAATATGTTAAAAGCGACTATTTCTATTAGATGTTCAGGTTGTCAGCTAAGTTGTAATCTTTAGTAATAGAGTGTTCCTAAATCCATTACAGCGACATAGCTTTACATTACGCCATTACAATACAACATGAATATTTTTGGGCTTCCCTTATTTATTATGCCTCAACGCTTAACAAAATTAATGAAGAATTATATTTGGCGACTATATCCCCTTCTAATGCTCTAGGATCAGTTGCTGGACTGGTGGTTTGGAAACGTAATATCCAAGTTGGAGGTCTCCTGCTGTCACCTTCCTCGTACAGCTAACCTCACTCTGGCTCTTTCTCAGGAAGAGGCTGGTAGCTCGTATCTAAAACATCCCTGCCTGGAAGGCCAAGGGAGAGGAGAGGGGATAGTGGTAGAGATGTGTCACGATTTGTGGGCTGGTGTGTCATTGTAGTGCTCCCACTTTAGTGTAGACTCCATCATCACGAATGGTCTCCAGATCTGTCGCTCAGTGGATGACTGGGTGTTGTTCCCTCCCACTCTGCTCCAAAGACCCAGGACACCAGCCTCCGCTGCATTTGTGATTGTGCTTCAGGGATACTGCTGCATAGTGACCTCCAGGGTCATGATTCCACCATTTCCAGTAATAAATCAATTCTATCTATGCTCATAAAGCCAATAGTGCAGTCTTCTCCTTCCCTAAAACTGCTGAAAAAATTGCGTCCACTGAAAGCTCTATTTTCAGTTCACTGCGATAACCTGTACTTACCATGTCCACAGGCACTGAGGCAGGTAAGACACAAACAATCTTGAAGAACTACCCATTATTTGCTGCCACTCTCAAGCCAAAACAAAGTTGCGGCATTTGTTGTGTACCAGGATACTAACAACGGCTTTTGTTTAAATAGTGAAGATACTGATGTAACCAGCAGTAACTTTTTGGCCCCGTTATGTATATATAGTACTCCAGCAGAAGCCATGGGTCTGATGTTTATTAGCTACACCCACATTGCTATCTGTGTTGGTGCTCAGGTGTAGTTTTTTCCCATATACAATCTTTCACAGACCCTACCCTATACCTTACAGGGAGTTGTTTACTACTAATGTACAGGCCATCTTGTCCACCCATTTAACCTTATAACTGTAATGTCAATCCATCTGGGAAAGAGGGCTGTTTGTACAGAATTGGCATATGCAAGAGAACAAGCCAAATTTACATTGCAGTTCCCAGAACACCAGATGCATCACTCAGCCCAGACTACCCAGAAAATCTTGCATATGCCATTCTAAGAAGCAGCCAATTATTCCGGAACCATTCTAAATTTATTCCGAAATTATTCGCCCAGGCCTAACCCTATAACGTGGGCCCTGGAATTTTTATTAGTGTGGGCGCACCACTTCAGTGGCTAACCACATGAACAAAAGGTTGTAGAGACTCTCATCCGACTGACTCAATACACATGTGAAAACTATGAGGTATATAGAAAGGCAAAGGCACAACAACATACACAGCATCTTAGCTATATAATATGCTCTATGTAAGTTACAGAATGTTCCATGCATGTGTACACAGGTCAGAGTTCGTGCACGTGTTTAGGTCAGAGATCGCCACAAGATCAAAGTGCAGTGTGCACCGCAGCAGGGCCGGCCATAATAGTTTACTATAGTGGACCTGTAGAGTAAATTTTCCGGGACTCTAAATTTTGCGCATGCGCAATGGTTCACTTACGTTGGGCGGAGTCCCCCAGTGGTCCGAGTCCGTTGTTGACGTTCTCCCTGGGTCTCTCGCTCGACTTCCCAGCGAGAAAGCAGCGCTCGTTCGCCGTTTCAGATGCACCGATTTTGAATTGCGCGTACGCGTTGCCATAAAGTTAGACGCCTCGTCCATGGAAACTACGCGCATTAGAGCGCCTTGGGGGCCCTTAGTAGCGTCCTCGCAGCGCTCGAACGCCGCAAGCTCAGGGCTCCCGCGGCTCTCTAATGCGCGTAGTTTCCTGGACTCGACATCTAACGTAGCTATAATATTATGTAGAAGTTATGGAGAAGTTGTCTCGTTTCGGAATGACAATCCCCAATCACTACGGAGAGAGCATTAATTAATTGACATCAGGCGTGTCTATACAAATGTAATACATGTTGACCATACAGTTGTAGTAAGTAACTTGGGATCATAGTCACCTTCTATCCAAAGACGCAAGGTACATGCTGTGCAGCCTTGTTGTGTACCAGGATACTACCAACTGCCTTTTGATTAGATACTGATGTAACCAGCAGTAACCTTTTGGCCCGTTATGTATATATAGTACTCCAGCAGAAGCCATCGGTTTGATGTTTATTACACCCACATTGCTATCTGTGTTGGTGCTCAGGTGTAGTTTTTCCCCCCATATACAATCTTTCACAGACCCTACCCTATACCTTACATTTACTACTAATGTACAGGCCATCTTGTCCACCCACATTTAACCTTATAAAGCCCTGTAACTGTAAACTCAATCCATCTGACATGCACATACCAATCATTCAATAGACCCTACCCTCTCCTTACACGTATTTACTCTTTTGCAACCAATCTTGCCAACCCACTCGGACATAAGGCTCACTGTAATTATCCCTCTACCGGAGAGAGTATATGAAACATTGATGCCCACACACTTTATAAAGCAAATCCTAGAGAACTTGGACTTCTGCTTCATGGGTGATGTTTAAAGAATCATGAGATATTTGGTGTTCCCCTTGTATGGCTGTATTATACATACAACTACAATGTCTGATATGTGATTTAAAAGAGTGATTTGTAAGTACCGTCTTTTTCATTTAGCAGTTCTGGGTAGTCTGGGCTAAGTGAATGCATTCTGGTGTTCTGGGAACTGCAATGTAAAATTTTGGCTTGTTCTCTTGCATATGCCAATTCTTGTACAAACAGAGCTAGCAGCCTCGGTCCCAGGCCTTGTCCCTCCTCCTCGTAAATTATATACGCGCAGTGTTGCCGGGTCTACTGATTTATCTAAAATCTGTGGATTTTGGGTCCAATAATGAGTGTATATATATTATGTATATATAATTATACTAGGGCTTACGGCATTATACACACATATGTATAATGTTGTAAAATTCTGTCATGGATTTTTTAGTTAATGAACCTGGCAGCACTGTACGCGTGATTTTGAACCATGCACAAAGTTAGTAGGTATATAGAAGGCCTGGATGATTTTCATCACATGATATGTGGCACAGAAGACGCACACACACGATTTACATTACGCGTGATGCACAGTGACGTTTTCGCCGCATATGATGAAAATCTTCCTGGCTCTCACTTTGAGCATGGTTTCAAAGGTTACGCGTATATAATTTGCGAGGAGAGAGAAGGCCTGGGATCGAGGCTGCAAGTGTGTATAAAACGCACATGAAGTTGACAGATGTCAATTTCACCCTAATGTTTACTATGAAAGCTCCTATTATTCCCACATAACTCTCCCTATTATTCTCAAGAAAATGTATCACTTTTATGGGATTGTAAGTGTTGTCTCTGTAGCTATAACTATACTGTGTGCTTTGAGAAACACTTGTGGGGAACTCAGCAATCTTTAAACGCAGTGCCAATCTCAGACTTAGCCTCAATTCTTTGGCAACAACAGTTTCTCGACCTCCACAGGCATTGATATCTAGCCCCCACGCTGAAACGTGCATACTTGTCCCCCCTCAGCTAAGAAGTAGCCAATTATTCCGGAACCATTCTGCTTATCTAAATTTATTCCGAAATAATTCGCCCAGTCCTAACCCTAACGTGGGCCCTGGAATTTTCATTATAAATTATAGTGTGGGCACACCACTTCAGTGGGTAACTACAGAACAAAAGTTTGTAGAGACTCTCATCCGACTGACTCAATACACATACACAGCTTCTTAGCTATATAATATGTTCTATGTAAGTTGTCGAATGTTCCATGCATGTGTATACAGGTCAGAGTGTATAGGTCATAGATCTCCACAAGGTCAAAGTGCAGTGTTGTATATAGCTACTATTATTCTTTCTTTTCCTTTCTAACCTCCGCTGAAGTAGAGTAGCCTATTGGGTGGGTTAAAGTTAGGTGGCAGTCAGAAAGACTGTGCACATTATATGGAGATGGTAAACAATCATGTGGGTAAGCTTACATGGCACGCATAAATAACCTGTCTCCGGCCGTAACTGCCCTCGCCTTGGCTGCAAACCGCTCTGACTGGGTCAATCTAGTCAATCGATGTCCCCATCCAACATCCTCTCTCGGTTGTCTATGACCACCTCACCTCAACAGCTCACTCCAGAGTCCAGGTCCATTCTTCCAGTCTTCCCCACGCTGGAGACTGGTTGAATGTTGTTTCTTCTGCCTTCCTTGGCCTTCACATCCACGATCAAGAGTTGCGATACTCTTTGAGGTACTGGCGGGGGGTACCCCCTCTATGGGAATGCCTATCAGTGCCCTGAATGTGGCCTCAATGCAGACATAATGGGAGACCATCATAATTATCGGCTGTGGGGGAAACGGGGATATAAAGGATCTCCCGCCACAACAACATTAGAGATGTTCTGTTCATTCGCAGCAGCCCTGGGCCCAGGAAAGGAGGCTCCCGGGGTGGTCCCCAATTCTAGTG